CGCATTAGGAAGGTCAAGAGAGAGCACCGAAGGAAGGTCTGGTGGCCTCTAGTGGCTCCGCACGGCGTCAACGCTGGCATTGTCATTGGGAGGCCTGTCTCCACGGGAATGAGCAACGTGGGCCAGGAGCAGTTCAACTTCTCTGGCATTGTCCAAAATGGAAAAGAGTCGTTGAAGCGCTTCAGTAGGCTTGTGGCGTCTCAGCACATGCACTTGTTTGTTGTGCTTTTGTTCCCAGCAAGGATGTTGCTCTTGGGGACAAACAGCGTGATTAGTTTTCATTGACCAAGCCTTACTGGATTTTTTATGGCTGGCCAAAAAAGAAAAAAAGAGAGAAAAAAGCAAAAGGAAAGCATATAATGTTTTTCTCCTTAATTTATTGGTGGGACGGTTGTCCAGGTGGAAATTGGAAGGATTTTGGCGGCAGGTTGGTTAAATTGATTCTTTATTCATTCTTTTCCAATGTTAGAAGCAATTAAAGATTGAGATACGACAGTCTAGAAGACTTATTCTTGAGACGAAACGACACTTGAACAGCAAGATATAAAAAAGATTCCCTCCTGTTGTAAATTCACTGGATTATCGTGATTATCCATCTCTATCTCTCTCTCTCTCGGTTTGATTTCCTGAGAGTGATTAGTGTTTTAAGATTTTGAGGAATTGATTTTTCTTTCCCCCTTTGCTTAACGAAATGTGAAACGTCATTAGGGCTTGAAAATGGAGTCTTGATTCTTGCGTGGGGACGTTGGACAGTGTTTGGCACAAAATGGTGATTTTGTGGACTATATTCGGTTGCTTTGTCAAATATCTTACTGTTTCTCTCCAATAATTGGGCAACTGATTTATGTACCTATCGACTTTAAGTAAATATTAATAAGGTTTTTGCTAAACTTGGAAGGTATTTTATAGTGGTTGACACTATCACTATCACACTAATTTTTTTTGCCCTTTTACCTTTATGCGAGATCGTCAAATAAATTTATTAAAAAAGAAAATAAAAAAAAAAGAATAAAAAGAGCCAGACGCTTAATGAAAAGAAAATTAAAAAACAAAAAAAACAAAAAGAGCCAGACCCTTTTTATTCACATGTCAAACTAGGAATGAAGCCGACACAACCATGAGGGCGTCTCAAATCTTTAGTCGTTTTGCGGGTGGTTCATGAAAATCAAGGCTTTCATTAATTTTAATTTTTAATTTTAATTTTACTACAGTTAAAAGTTTTTACAAAAAGTCATATCTAACTTTTTTACTACAGTTAAAAGCTATTACATAAAATTACATATCAGCTCATATTAAAAACTCGAATCGACGGACTGAACGAGGCCTGAACTAAGACCTCGTTCATTTCACAAATTCGAGTTTTCAATTTTAATTTTACAACAGTTAAGAGCTCTTATAAAAAGTCACATTTAACTTTTTTACTACAGTTAAAAACTCTCATATAAAGTTACATATCAGTTCGTATTAAAAATTCAAATCGATAGATTGAACGAGACTCAAAAATAAAGGACAAAATAGACGTCACCGGTCCAAAATGGCTGAGCCCCCCCTAGTGCCTATCCATCCAACAATGCAAAGTTGTGCCTATTACGGATAAAATCTCAGAATCTCAATTCTCCATCTTCCCAATTGAATTATTTAAAATATTTTTTGTTCTTTTTGAAAAATATTCTAGTTCGTAGTCATCATCAAAGGTGGTGGTGTTCAACATCATCGTCTAACTTTTAGTGTTGGAACGATTGACTTATAATATATAGAATTATGTATAATCACGACGTTTCAATGTTAACGAATTTGTGATTGGTTAAATATGTAATATTACGAAATTATATGAATTTGTAATGATGGCTGATGATAATACGTAGAGTTACTTAGCGTTTTGGGATTGTGAATCCCTCGCTTTCGCGGGGCATGAATATGGCTTCTGGTGTCTTCTCTTTTGCTTTTTCAAATGATTGTTTTTATTAATTTTGCTTGTTCTCTTCTTCGCTGGGCTTGAGTTTAGGTGGTGATGGGGAAGTAGAAAAGGCACCAGTAGGACCATTTAGTAGAAGAGGCCAACACAATGAATTGACATAACAGTTGGTTAGTAGTGCCCTTTTATAGGGCGGAACATGTCGATAAAACTAAAAAAAAAAGAAGAAAACAAGAACATAACTTCTTGCACGACCCCGTGTTTTGGATAGTCCACCTCGACTGCCTATCCTTGGCCTTTGGATGATATGAATTCCATGCAAAATCCATCTCATCTTATGTACGCGTTAAGAAAATGAATACTCTTGACTATACGTAATTTCCATATAAGTACTTATTTATCAAGTGATCAAGTAAAACCTGTTAATTTCGTTCTTTTTTTTGTATCTACGCCCTAGCGTCCTCGCACGACGCGTGCGATGAATAATTTAAACAGACTTATTATCATTTTCAAGTTAAGAACTCGTTTAGTAGAGGGAGAAAAGTAAGAGGAGTGAAATGAGTGATGAAAGTTAAAGTTTGAGAATCCGATATTGTCTAACATGAGAGAAAAGATGATGAAATAAATGTTGACTTAAAATCTTTCAAAAAAAAAAAAAAAAGAGTTCAATTTTAGGGTTCATTTATTTCTTATATTTAAACTCAAATTATTAATTCGTCTACAGTGTTTTCCTATCACAAAAAATTTGAATTTTAAACATCAGAATCAAGAACATTGTTTAAGTATACATTCTAAACGTGTCATTAATCTCTTCATACTCTAAATATGGAGAGATTGGTGAGATTAAGAGGGAATTCAAACTAAACTCAATAAATAATAATAAAAAAAATCATCGCCATCCTTCACACAGGGTAACATTGTTAATAACGTAAGAAAACCAACTTGAATACAAAGACGCTAGCTTGTGCTTTGAAGGATATAATAGGTTGCTTAACTTGTACACAACACGAGATCCTAAACCGCCACCAATATTGATTCTCTAGCTCGTGTCCGAATGGTAGGCAAATTTTTTTTATTTGGTAGAGTCGAATTTATGGATTGAAAATCCTTATAGTTTTGCTGATCAATTAAGGATTGAAAAAATATAAAATATATTATTGAAAAGATATGAATTTAGACTTTTACCTTTACTCTTTATAAATACTTCTTTATAACTAAAAAAGTTATGAATTAAAAATAAAATGTAAAAATCTTAATCTATACACTTTTAGATACACTTTTAAAAGAGCATTTGTCAAATTACCCTTAAGGATTTTCGAATGTGTGACCGAGCAAAGGATTTTTTTGGGCCGAATCAAAACTTCGATTGGAGAAGACAATTGACCAGTGAATCTCAGCCCATTAAGTTATCATTGATTTTCACAAGAGAAAATTGCAAAAACTAACCCCTAAATATATCCTTATGAAATTCTATTGATTTGTTGTGATAGACTACCCCTTTAATAATAATCTGTCAAATTATAAATAGTAATCTATTAAATTACACCCACCGCTGGTGATCAGAGACTCGCCGCCCGCGACCGAAAACCCACCACCAGCATAATTTGTTAAATTTTAAATAATAATCTGTCAAATTACTTACACTAAAAAGCAAAATTCAATAGCTAATATGGAGACTTAGGGGATGTTTAGTTGGAGGATTCAAACCATGATTTGAATCATGGTTCATGGTTCGCTACAATATTTTCTCTCATAAAAAATACACGTAAATAAAAAATAGTTCTAATCACCTTATTCTAATCCATGAACCAAACGTCTCCTCAAAAATCCTTAATGATACAATTTTAAGAGGTATTTATCAAAATTATCCTTTACCTGGCTACACCAATTGCGACTCCAAGACCGAAAATGACTTCGACCCAAATGCTAAAAATATGAGAGAAAGAGGGAAATAGGCCAAGACTTGAGATGAATTACAATTAATAGGCCAATAGTTTACATAAGTTAATAAATAGACCAAATTACTGTTTTCGTTCATAACTTATCTAGTTATAAACTATAACTTGACAAATTATTATTCATAATTGTCCATAACTTGTCTGACTATAAACTATAACTTGACAAGTTTGTCCATAACTTATCTGATTATAAACCATAACTTGACAAGTTATGACCTATTAATTTCTATAACTAAAAATTGACCTATATACTTTCTTAAACTTTTCATATTGGCCTATTTTCTACTATTTCCCTAAAAATATCACAGGACATAAGTGATGACATACATTGCACAACATCTCAGTTTTGTCTTTATCCGCCAGAAATATGAAATATCACTAACTGATTTATGGCCCATAATCAAGCAATAATCTTGTGTTTGGACTGCTCAATGAAATATTGTGCACAAAAAACGAAGGAAAACAAGTCAACCGATATTTCGAACCAAAAAACAAGCCATTGTATCACGGGCGTATATTTTAACTGCTCATTGAAGTAGGTGTTGGTGCATTAATCCTTTAAGAACAAACTCCAACGTAAAATCTTAAGATTTTTACTCTTCCATATTAAGCATTAACCATACAATTCATTTGCACAAAATAAACAACAGTTTATCAATATACAAGTCACCAAAAAGCAGCTATATTTTTTGGATTATAAAGTTCGATCGGAATACAACTAGATAGAAAAATTGACAAGTATCTTTTCCATGAGAGGTCTTTGCTTAATCAGTTTTATATCCGTAGAGCAAACAACTTCTTCCCAAGTAAAGGAAATTGAAGCCTTTTTTATTAGAGATTAATTTTACCAGCCAAGTACCATGAGTGCATGGCAAGGCTACCAAACGACATGATATTAGCAAGAGAGGACAACCCATGAATCATCCCAAATTTCTTATTCATGGCAGCAAGCTTTGGATTTACCTTTGCAACTTCCACATTCTTTGACCACCCAATTTCATCCCCAATGTTCTGTTCTCTCTCCACCTTATGCCTTTGCTTCATCATCTGCACAACAGAAGGAAGACACATATCATGTGAATAATCACAAACAACAAATAATAAATACATGGTAATTTGAAATCTGCACAAAGCTATGCATAAAAAATTCAATTTCTCATTTGGCTCTCAGTAACATGTCAAAACATCAACACCCCTAAACATAGTTCTTCTGTATGACACGTCTCATTTGGCTGTTAATAACAATGTCAAAAAGTTGTGCATCAACACCCCTAGTTCTTGTGCATGACATGTTCCTTCAAACAACATGTCACACACAAGAACTAGGAATATATAGAGAAAAAAAGTTGTCGATAGTCATATTGCTTTTTTATTTTATTTTCTTTTTTTGATCACAGGAATCTCCCGAGCCAGAAACTCGAGCCCTCTGCCAAATCCCACAATCTTTAGAAGGCAGGAAACTATGGCATTTGTCATGTGACTAGAAACACACAACAGTTCAAGAAATTTGCACACAAAATCATTAATCAGTCCTAAGCTATGACTGAAAAGTACACTTTTCAAGTGTTAAAAACATCAACACGCAAGAATTAGGTGCATTAAAAAAAAAAAAAAAAAAAAAAAAAAAAAAAAAAATTTTAAAAAAAGTTTTTCAAAACCAAAAAAATAGGTGCATTAAAAAAAAAAAAAAAAAAAAAAAGAAAGAACAAGAGATTTAAGAAAAGTTGACCTCAATAGTCATGGGTGTGAAGACAAACAAATTTGCTAGATTGAAGGCGAAGGCAGAGAGCAAAAAGCCAAGCTGGTACTTCTCAGCAGTGTCTGAGGACTTCCATGGATGCAGATACCCAAACGATGCCACTGATATCGCGCAGCAGACACCCACCATTGAGAAGTATGCAGGAAACATTTTGCTTTGCAGATTACCAAATTGATGCCTTGGAAGATTCCTAAATTTTGTCACAAGGAGAAATTTTCAGGTCAGATAAATTCACAAAAGTGTCCCTTACGTGATTGAGATACTAATGCAGTATAAGAAATTAAAAAAGCTAAAATCTGAATCGGCTTAATTTTTTTGGAATTGGCAGAACTAAAATTTGATTTCTTTACAAGCTTTATCCTTGGAAGATTTTCAGAAACCAAACGAAACTTTAAATTTTCTATATATTCTCCTCAATTTTAGTTTCTTTTGGGAGCAAAAAGTCATTCCAAATAATTCTCGGTAGAACATTTTAGGACAGCATGGAATCGGGGGGGAAAAAAAAGAAAAGCAACTTCTTTTTAGTTTGCAATTGATTTTGTTCAATTTCTCATCAACCAAACACACCGTAACTAAAATTCATGGAAAGGAGAAAACTTGCATCGTTTAACCACGAGAATTTTCAAGAAAATAACAGGAAAAAAAAAAATCTTTTACTTAAAGTCACTTGAGAAATGAGGGTTGCGAGCCAAAAACTATCCGAAACAATTCCCCGTCATAAAATCACACTTCCCTCACTCCAGTTTCACATTCTTCTAAAAACAAGAACACAAACGAATCCATAAAAAATGAAACTTGTATTTCGCTGTATTTAATTCTCAACAACCAAACAGAGCAAAACCAAAATTGTGGGAAAATAGTGCGTACTTGAACAGGATGATACCGCCGATGAAGGTGACCCAGAGAGCGGCGCCCCAGGCGGTGGAGAAGCTAAGCAGATGAGCCAGTTTGAGGTAGGTGGAGAGTTTCGGAGAATTGAGACCGTCCGATTTCGATCCAAAGGTCTCCGGTGAGAATATCACTCCCACAGCCAAAAAAACCACCGCCGTCAGAAACCGAGTTAGCCAACCCATCGCTCCACCGAATCTCTTCTCTCTCCCTCTGATTCTGGAGATTTTGGAAGGGGAAATCAAAGAAAAACAAGCTTTCAGAGAAGAGTTGGTTTTTTTATTACGCGGGCTTATCTACCCAGTACTATCCTGTTCCTTCCTTGTTCTTGTTCTTCTTTGATTTTTTATTCCTCTTATGACTTCACTAAAATGCCACTGCTCTATTTTGTTATTTACGTCCAAGATTCCCACAATCTCAACGTGGCTCGTAATAAAGATGTCGTTTCTTGTCCTTCCAAACTTTTTTCATTTTTATTTTTTTGTCAGCTTTGCCGGCGCCTTCGAGGCTTCACGAGGGTAAGAATTACAGCCCTCTTCTAGAAGCCTCCATTCACAAATGGGCTCTTAACAGACAGCCCAAAAGGTTATCTACTACGGCCCAAATAGTGCTCTGGACCTGTTGTGACGCCAGGCCCATTTTTAACAGCATCAGACTGGTCATGTGTCGCAGATCCGACTTCCACGTGGAAGCAAATTGTCCGACCATGCTTTTTGGCTCTCCCGCCTATGCATTAAAGTCAAAAAATTTGAAGGAAATAAGAATTTTCCCTCCTTTTTTTTTCCTCTTTTACCCCCCCAAAACCGACTCTTCCCCAGCAAGTTTCAGCACACAAACAGTAAACCCATTTTCTTATTTCTCAGTGTTCAGATTCATCACAAATCTTCCTTAAACCTGTAAATTTCTTCGCAAAGTCACGTTTTTGGTTCTTCGATTATTATTTCTTCTCGAAAAAGAAATTTCGAGTCGATGTTTGAAACCAATCACTCGGCGAAGCCATTTATCGGCGTCCGTTTCGTCCTCAGTGGATTCGATCTCCCTAATGAGCAGAAGGTCCTTTAATATCTTACTCTGATCGATTTTTATGTTTTTTTTTTTTAATGATTTTGGGAAAAAAATAGTACATATTGCAGTTATTGTTTATTTTTTGTTAATTGAAATGTGTAGGTTCGATCCAAGCTAGTAGAAGGAGGTGGAGTTGATGCCGGTCAGTATAGCAAAAATTGCACACACGTGATTGTGGATAACATTGTTTATGTACGTCCCAATTTAATTCTTTTCCTCTTTTAATGTGAATTTAGCTTTCAGCTTTTTTTTATTTTTTTTTTAAATTTTAGTGACTTGTTTTGTGTCTTCTAGAAATTATGGGGGGAATTTGAAACAATTTTAGCTTCTACACAAGTTTCATTGGTGAATTTTATTGCTTACAACGTTGTTTTTGGATTTTGTTTATTGTACAGGATGACCCCTTATGTGTTACTGCTCGAAGGGACTGCAAAACGCTTGTGACGGGTTTATGGGTTGATCATAGTTTTGACATTGGAATGCCCGTTGATGCCACTTCGGTGGGTCCCACCTCCTTTGTTTAGCTTATAATTATTTGGTCTATCTCTAGTGCCATTGTTGCTTGACGGATTCTAATCTTTTCCCACCACTTTTTTCAGCTTAATGTAACATTGAATTTCCTTACTTAAAATGATCTGTGGTATATTGTTTTACATTGTGCAGCATCTATGGCGTGGTTTTTTTTTTTTGTTTTCTGTTTTTTTTTTTTTTTTTGGTATTTACTATGTTACTCTTTTGCGGAAGATATGTTGTTGGGTCTTTGCTTTGTCCCTGCAATCATTTCTTTTGGGTATCAAATTAGGTGATCATATTAGGTTTTTGGACAGATTATGTACCGACCACTCAGAGATTTGAATGGTATTCCTGGCGCTAAAGGTTTGATCATGTGCTTGACTGGATATCAACGACAAGACAGAGATGACATAATGGTATGTATCTAAGTTTTGTTTTTATTTTTTATTCTCTCTTTTCCTTTCTCACTGGAATTTCTCTAATTACTGTATTATTTCCACTTGTTCATTTCTATGTTCTTTTTTAGACAATGGTTGGCTTGATGGGCGCACAGTTTTCAAAACCTCTGGTGGCAACCAAAGTAACTCATCTCATTTGCTACAAATTTGAGGGTATTTCTTTTCTTACCTTAGTTTGAATTTAAATGGTTTTACTCATGGTGTTAAGCATTTCTTTTATTTGTCTCCTTAAAGTTCTCATTGTTTTTCCGATTTTGTTGTCACCAAATTTTCCTATGAGTGTCTTATAGAAGAAAAAGGAAAAAAAGGTTCTGTTTTGAAACCAATTTTCAACACAAGAGATGAGAGGACACAGGCACATCACACATTTTCATCTCTACTTTTTATGGGATGCATTTGTGTTGTCTTACACCAGCACATACTTGGGTAGCATTAATAACTTTACGGGTTTTGTTTATCTAGGAGAAAAATATGATCTTGCCAAGAAATTACCAAAGGTAAAGCTTGTCAATCATCGTTGGCTAGAAGATTGGTAAGTCTTTGTTCGTCCATTGACAAAGAAACATTTTGCTCATAATGTCTGAAAACAGTCCAGCTTCCTTTAATTAAACTCGTCTACTTTTTTCATCCCTCTTTTTGTTATTATCATGCAGTTTAAGGGATTGGGAAATTCTTCCGGAAGATAATTATAATAGGAGGTAACGTATAATTTCAGATATTAGTTTTCTCTATGCGTTGCACGTTTACAAGTATTACTTTGGGCTATTGCATCTCTCTAATTAGTTACATTGGCAGCACAAAAAAATTATCAATTAGTTACTGCATGTACTTTTGTATTTACATTCTTTCTCTCCAGTTCCTATGCAATGGAGATGATGGAAGCTGAGGCCAAGGATTCTGAAGAAGAGGCTGAAGATACATCTGTTAAGCAGATGGAGGGAAACATGCACAGGAGTCCTATTTTAAAATCTGGCTATCTGGAGCCACGTAAATCACCAAAATTGGTTGTGGAGACGTCAAATATTCTGCCAGAGTCAGCATTGTCCAAGGATCCTTATATCGATAACACCAAGAGCAGGGTGTCAGGACCTAGTATTGAGAATAAATCTGATCAGGCCTCGAGTTTCAATGAATTTCCCTTTTCCAAGGCTCTTGACTATCGGGATGCTGGTGGCGTTGAGGCGACAACTTATAACAAGATGCCTGATCCTCATTGCCGAACGCCCATCTCTAAGAATGCAACAAATGACTTGACATCTAGTTCTTGGATTGCTGAAAGGCCTCCTCATTCTGAAGGGAAGTTCAGTGCTGTAAGTTATCAAAGGAAAACACCGAGGAGATTAGGAGAATTGTCAAGAAATGGATTCGCCTTGGATAATGAACCAATGGGTAAACTCGAATCTGATGACCTTTCATCTTCTTTGTCCAAGGCGGAACATTCAAAGGATAGAATTGGCTCGGATTCTGTGGCTGCTCTACCAAAAAATATTTATTTACAATTTGGAGAAAAGCCAACTGGTTTTTCGCCTTGGAAAAGGGCGCTGGCTGGTTCTTTTCCTAGTCCCAATTTGCAAAAGAATGATGATGCTAGGCCATGCATTAGGAGGAGTCCATCCCCAAGTGATAAAATTCTCGAAGCGCAAGCAACATCTTTCTATGATGGCTTGCCTGAAACTAACGTTATCCGATCAGCCCTTTCTAATATGTATTCTGTAAATGATTGTGCCGATGTGAACTCTGCATTGGACTCACGCTGTACTGATGTAATAACCCGGTCTCCTATTTTCACTAAGCCATCTCCACGTGAGTTACCTTTCTCCAGAGCGATGCTGTCAGAGTTCAAACAACAGGATAATGGGAATGAGAATACATCTATATCTCCTAGGAGATTAAAAATCTCCTCATCTAGTGTTTCTGAATTCAGTGAATTTGATGTTGGGAATTCTACACATGCGGCTGCTGGCATGAGGGAACCTCAGAACCAACAGCCGGATGGTAAGGGTTCATCGGCAAGTAAGAGAGATTCAATGACCAACTCCAATGGCCCTTCTAGTTCGAGCTTTGTAGGAAATGATAACTCAGCTACTAAACTGCTCAGAAAAACGATGGTTGCCAAGAAGACTCTTGGTTCTGGACCTAAGTTAGGTTCTACCGCTAATAAAAAGGGTTCCATCTACTCAGGCAAAAAAAGTGTACAACAAAATGATGCTCCAGTTTGTTTGAGTGGAGAAAACAATGAGAAATACGCTCATGCCATGAAGCCAGAACTATGTTCTACAATTGTTAGCAATGATGGACCAAGAAATGAGGAGACAATAGCCGCAAACAAGCCTGAAGATATTGCAGTGCACAGAACAGGATCCCTGGATGATGAAACGGAAACTCCAGAGGAAAATATTGAGCAAGTGTTGGAGGATGCAACTTTTAAGAAAGAAAGTGTTGCTCCATTTGAATTAATTGGAAAATCTGATATTTTGAGGGAAAATGAATCAACAGGACTACATCATTTGTTTAATGATGCCTCTGCCAGTACTCATGCAGTGGCCCCTGAAGAAGGCAGGGGAGGAAATGCATCAGAAAATGCAGTGGACGGCAGTATTTCTGCTATGGCCGAGCCAAGCTCAAAAGTTGATGGTTTGACAAGGAAAAGGCAGAAGGGAAAAACAGGCGCTGTAGGTAAATCTATGACAAAGAAAGTTGATGATGCCAAGGAGGTAATGAAATCTAAGGAACTTGTAGAAGAAGCTAACGCATCAGAAGATGCAGTGGACGGCAATATTTCTGCTATGGCCGAGACAAGCTCAAAGGGTGAAGGTTTAGAAAGGAAAAGGCAAAAGGGGAAAACAGGCGCTGTAGGTCAATCTAAGATGAAGAAAGCTGAAGATGTCAAGGAGGTAATAAAGTCTAAGGAACGTGTAGAAGAAACTAACGACATCGATGGGATAAAAGAGGTGGAAAACGAGAAGAGAGCAGTAACATGTCCTGTAGCAAAATCAAAGCACCGTAATGTATCGAAAAAGAAGTTACAAAAGTCAGCTGAAGAAGAGAAGGAGAACAAGCCAATCGATCTTGGGACTGAAAACAGAAGTGAAGCCAAAAGGTTTGCAGAAAAGCAAGCTGTATCACCCAACGTTGAGCAAACTTCTGCTAAGTTTGGTGCTAATTCTTCAAGGCAAGTAGTAGGAGTTACGAACAAAGCTTTACCCGAACCTGCATGTTTTATTTTAAGTGGTCATCGACTTCAAAGAAAGGAGTTTCAGAAAGTTATCAGGCGTTTAAATGGAAGATTTTGCCGCGATTCTCATCAGTGGTCTTACCAGGCAACACACTTTATTGCTCCGTGTCCAATCCGCAGGACAGAGAAGTTTTTTGCTGCCGCAGCATCTGGCAGGTAAAATTCTCAACTAGTTTTATCAATGCTTCACAGTTGACATGCTAATTAAAAGTATATAATCCCTCAAATGATTCTGTTTAGATATTCTATACTTGCTTACAGGCTGAATTCTAAATCAACTCTCGCCTGACTGCAGATGGATTCTTAAGACCGATTATTTGGCAGCTAGTAATTCGGCGGGAAAGTTCATAGGGGAGGAGCCTTATGAATGGTACAAGAATGGCCTCAGCGAAGACGGTGCAATTAATTTGGAGGCACCTAGAAAATGGCGTCTATTAAGGGAGAGAACTGGTCATGGTGCTTTTCATGGGATGCGCGTCATCGTATATGGTGAATGCATGGCGCCACCTTTGGTACGTTTTGAACTTTATTCTGTGTTAGGAATTTCAGTCTGGTATTGTGTGTTTTTAAGCGCAAGTATATTACAATCATATTTGCACACAAAAAAAAAAAAAAAAAAAAAGGCAAATGCAATTCAATGTGATTTTATAAAATATAACAGTTAATAACTACACAATTATATATAAGGTATTTTTTTCCTTATCTTATCATTGAATTCTCCTAATAAAATATCTGCTCAGACCTTTGTTCAAAACCCGAAAAGTTGTTAGTGATTTGTTCTCATCTCTCATTGGCATGAAATAGGATACTCTCAAGCGTGTAGTGAAGGCAGGAGATGGAACCATATTAGCCACATCTCCGCCGTACACTCGCTTCCTTGACTCCGGTGTTGACTTTGCAATTGTCGTCCCGGGCATGCCACGCGTTGATGTGTGGGTCCAAGAGTTCTTGAAGCACGAGATACCTTGCGTGGTAGCTGATTACTTGGTGGAGTATGTGTGCAAGCCCGGGTACTCCCTAGAGAAACATGTGCTATACAACAGCCACGCATGGGCCGATAAGTCATTAGTGAGGCTGCAGGCGAGAGCCGAGGAGGTTGTCACGGACTTGATCCCTCCGGAGGATCACGGCTCCGATGACGTGTCATGCAAGGTTTGTGGGTGCCGTGATAGAGGAGAGGTGATGTTGATATGTGGTGATGAAAGTGGTTCCACTGGCTGTGGGGTTGGTTGCCATATTGATTGTTGTGATCCTCCCTTTGAAGATATTCCTGAGGACGACTGGTTTTGCTCCGAGTGTAGTGATAGAAGAAGCAAAAGCAGCGAGACTCCTTCCAAGAGAAGGAAAAAGGGGACGTCTTCTGTGAAGTGCAAGTGAATTTCTCATTCTTGTAACTCGTACGCTGGAACTTTCCTCCCCCCCACCCTAGTGAATTGCATCTCCTGATATTTGTACATTTTCTTTGGTCGTTCGTGGTCTATTTTATTGGTTTATGGAAAAACAACATTGTTTATTTTAGAAAATAATGACAATTTTGTTTTTTTTAATGATAATGTAACTGAAGTCTGATGTTGTAAAAAGCTTTTAGTTGACCTTTTTGTTCCCAAGAATTATCTCGGAGGACTAGTGTTCAAATATCCTACTTATATAGAAGGATTTATGGGACGCCATTTTATAATGGAATAAAAAGATGAAAATGCATTATTTCCATTTCACCTCTTAATTCTCTAACGTAATAGACAAGGCGAAATTGTTATGAAAATCATATTTATTTTGTTAATGGGTTGGTTTGCTCGGACTGGTGAACAACAGTAGGTCATGACATAATACTATGCACAGGAATTAGAGGAGTACAATTGGTATTTGAATATATATTTAGATTAATTAATACAGGGATCATACTTATGAGGGAATTGTAACAATGTGCTATATAATTTTGAAAATTTAAGCGGTCATACAAAGAAATTCAAAGGTACTCAGCCTCTTAACGGGCCAGCTAAATAGGATCTTTAGCAGAAATAATTTTGATAAATACTCTTTAAAAATATACAGATCAAGATTTTTAATTTTTTACTCTTATGTTTGGTAGAGAAATTCATTCCCTGATTCGAATCATGATTCATGATTCGCCACAGTATTTTCTCTCATAAAAAATTAACGTAAATAAAAAATAATTCAAATTACATAATTTAAATCCTCCAACTAAATATTTTATCTTTTTAGTTAAATAATTACACTAATAAAGTAAATGTAAAAATTCAGATTCATATCATCTCAGGAGTCCAATTTTTACTCTAAGGGGTAAGGAGGCCGTACGAAGCCCAATATGACATAGTTGGGGTTAAACTTGTCATAGGACAGCCGTGTTTTGGGACCCACCCACAGAGGATGGACTCATATTTCAGAAAGTCCGGATTTGAGCAGTTGACCCGTTTTCAGACAGGACGTTATAGGCCTCGTTCAAGTTCAAGTCTAGTATTGCTGTAAATTATGGCCCGTTTAGTTCGCTGATGCGAGTTGAGATATAATTTTATGTGAGTTTTTTACTGTAGTAAAAAAGTTAGATTTGATTGTTTGTGAGAGCTTTTTACTATAGCAAAACTCGAATTCTAAACTCGAATCAGCGAAATGAACGAGGCCTATATGTATTTGTTTCTTGTAATCAATTTGAGCTGGAGAGAATTGAAAAAATAATATATATATATATATATATATTATTGAGAGAGAGTGTTAATTCAATGTAAGTTTTAGACCTTTAAGTTTGAGTCGAAATAAAAGGGCCGACTCAAAAGAAGCCTGTCACTGTTGACTGAGGCTTAGAACCTTTGGGTTGAGATACAAAGCTCAAAATCCGGTCCGGCCCAAAGACCCTTTATTTTAGAAATTTCTTGAAAATACATTATAAAATTTCAGGCAAGACCGGCTTTATTGGGTTTTAGGGTCACGTTGGACCAACCCTCTTCACTTTAAGTAAGCCCGGCTCAACTTGAAATTTTCATTCAGACTGTCAAGTTTGAACCCGGCGGCCCAAACTTTCACTTCTAGTAAGCTTGTATTTCTTAAAACTAAGGGCCCGTTTGTTTTACAAATTCAAACCGATGATTCTTATTTTACTATAATATTTTTCTCTCATAAAAAAAATTCCCGTAAATAATTCTCTTACAAAATTTGAATTAAAAATCAAAATCACCGAGGAATTAGGCCACAAATAAATAAAAAGTTTCCCACATTATCTTCATTCCCAATGATTGCTTTTTAATGAAATTCTAGGTGATGATCCACTGATGTTCTAATGAACCCTAATTGAGGGAGGATTGAAAACTCAAAATAGATATATTTGTCTGGATTACATTTTTCAAAATTCTTCTACTGTTTCCAGTTTGATAAGAGAGAGGGAGAGAGGGGATAAATTCTTACGAGGACTGATACGCATTCGGTGTTTCTGCATGGAAGCCAGAGGTTACGTGTGGTACTACTTTTGAATGTATGACCCCCCAACTCCCAAGTACTATACTTTTGGTTGGTGTGCGTCAATCATAATAATTTCTTCTTTCTCTCATTTCCCGAGGGCTGAAATACTTTTATCATAATAATATATAATTTCATTTTTGTTCTCTAAATTTTTGGCTTCATTAGGCTCAGATCGTGCTCCTGGGTAATACAATACAAAACTATGCTCACACATATTTTACCTCTGCCTCCCCATCTTCGTGGGTAGTTAAACACTCATTGTGTTCGTTTATTTGAGTTTTTAATTTAAATTAAAATATAATTTTATGTAAAAATTATTTATTATAATAAAAGAATTAAATATAATTATTTTTGAGACTTTTTTACTATAATAAAACTCAAATTTAAACTTCAATCGTGTACTTTCTTTTAAAAAAAAAGAAAAAAAAACTCCAACCGCGTACCCTTTAGTGCACAACTCTTCTTATATATATAAAAGTTTTTTACTGTAGAAAAACTCAAATTCTAAACTCAAATCAGCGAAGTGAACGGGATTCAGTCTTCTAATATGGTTCCTTGGCAATAAATTATACAATGATCATGCTTTTTAATCATTTGTATGCATTCGCATTTGTAATTAGTATACATAAGATTTATGTCACTGATCATATATATAAATAAAACATATTTGAAAGTATATATAGAGTTTGTTTAGTTCGCTGATTCGAGTTTTTAATTTGAGTTTATATGTGATTTTATGAGAGAGTTTTTTACTGTAATAAAAAATTTTAATATGACTATTTCTGAGAGTTTTTTACTGTAACAAAACTCGAATCGGTTAAATAAACGGAACCATATAAACTCGACTAAGGGGATGTTTGGATAGATGATTCAAACCATGATTTGAATCATAATTTATGATTCGCTACAGTATTTTTTCTCAAAAAAATATACATAAATTAAAAATAATTTTAATTCATGAACCGAACTCCTAAAACTCTTTATATTAATGCTTTTAGTTCCCACATCGTTCGTATTTGACGCAAAAAAAAAACATTAAAAATGACTGTTTTATGGCGAGAATTAGTCTAAAAGATCTCATTTAGCACGTTATGGGTACCAAAGTCGGAACGGCCATAATTCAAAATAAGCACATATTCTTTGTACCCTTCTCGTGTTTTTACTCAAGATCGTATAAACAGATAACGTGAACAGAATTTGTCAGAAATTTCTTACATTATAAAACCCAATAAGCTTTTAAGAAAAGCCATTTATAAGCCATCAAAATTGAAAACAATGAAAGAGCAGAGATGGAGAGAGAGAGAGAGAGAGGCACATGATAGCATCACATGCTGTCACTGACATCATCATAACTGGCCACGACTAAACCCTCTTTTCAATGTTCCCAACATTCAAACATCACGTGTTTATATTCCCCAATCCCCCCTCTCTTACTCCACCGTGTCACCGGACTTACTTCTTAACCCCCGCATTCTCCTCTCTAATCGCTCACGAAGCCACACAAAGTGAGGGGTATTACGGTAATCACAAGACCGGAATAATTGTACAAGTGCTTATAAACTCAAAACAGCGATTTGTGGATCGAAGTTTAAAAAGAACAGTACTAGAAAATTATTAAAAAAACAACCAAAAACAAAAAAAAAGTGTTGGGAGATGTTCTAAAGCCCCTCTGACTATGGAATAGAATAAAGAAGAGGAATTTAAAAGATGAAAAAATAGTGCCCCTCGTGAGAAACAATACTATACCCACCTTTTCTTTCGCCACAAGAAAATAAAATATGCCTGCAAAATGGTGCGACTATATTATAGATATATAAGGCCTATGAGCCTATTAGAAAGACCTTAACATATAACATAATATTTAAGTAAGTGTCAGAGGAGTCCACTAAGAATTACTCCAAAACAAGGCTGTCTTTAGTTCATCCTCCTTCCTGATCACAGTTTATAAAATGATAAAAATTGAAGATATGGCAAGCCATGTTTTTGCACTTTGCATCACACAAAATTAATTTATGGTTTTTTTTTTTTTTTTTTATTTTCACAATTCAAAATCCTGCCCATATATGTTTTATTTATATAATTCATGTGTAGTCACGCAAAGTGTATTACACTGTGGATCCAGCCACTGGCCACTCAATTTTAAGGTTGGAACTCTTTCAGAAACTCAGACAAGAAGTAATAAATTCAACGAGGGGTTTTCTTGTGAAAGTGGACTTTGAGGCAGATATGGAAGTGGGTGGTCATAATTAGAACATGGCGTGTTTTGGCATTTCTTGTTTGAGGGTCATATGTGGCCACACAATTACGTCCTTGTTATGGGCACAAAATGTATGTTTAGGAAATTAAAGCCAAGAAATTATTGACATATTTGCCTCGTGGACTTCTAATTAAATAGCAAAGCAACTAGTCATTCAGCTTTTGACAACTCCCAAAGAAAGGTCAGTATGCAACTTGAAAACCCAATTGTGACAGCTGCGTGTCAAAATGTATGCACTTCTAACCAATCATATGTGGCAGCATTAGTGAAAAGAACCAATAATTTTTTTTTTTTTTGGATAAGAGAACTATTTATCAGTTTCATCCAAAGCAAATTGATTAGATTAAGTATAAGCTTTAGATTAAGGATAATTTAAAACTGAAGATGGTAGCAAAGTGAGTTTGATTTTCTTGTAAGGGATCTTAAGGAGGAGGAAAGTGGTTATAATTGTTGAGTTGCTTGGAAGGACAAAAGCCAAAAGCTGATTCTTTGGGATAAAAAGTGGCTAAAATCACTTGAAGGGAAAGGAATAGAAAATGGAATGTACAAAGGCAACCATGAAGTACGGAAACAGTTAGCATCCCTTTGATCTTGATTAAAACTGAAGAAACAATCTTTTAAAAACAAAAACAAAAAAAATTACTCCAAAATTTTTTAGACCCAAGTTTGTCAGTTATCTTATCTTACATGGCTAGTTAATTTAAAAATCAACATAGGATTCGTGTTCCTCATCCCATGTATCATGTGCTTCTTATGTCTGTGGAAAAC